AAAAAAAAAAAAAAAGTCTTAACAACTGCAAAGATTCAGAGAAACTCTTCATTCAGGCATCATTACTGCACATTTTCTGTGTTGACTCTGATTAGGTTTGTTTTTATAATGAACACGATCTAAAAATCACCCTTCACTGCAGTTTCTTAATCAGTATTTTCAACGCTAGTTTTGCGTTGAAGATATTTCAAGGTCCATAAAACAAGTAATCGATGATTAGTAATATAAAACAAGTTATAAAATCATTTAAGTATAACATTTATAAAACCAATAATATATAATATAAAACCTAAAATATATGGTTTACACTTAAAAGTGTGCACTTAAGTACAATTCATTAACATCAGTAAATTCGTTAGGTAACCCAATGAAAAATACTTTTACAGCTTTATTAATTTAGGTTAATGTTAATTTTTGCATATGCATTTTTAACTTTCAAGTTGCATAAGTTAACATTAACGTATTATAAATGAACAATAATTTCATGAACATGAAATTATTATATAATATTAACCTGTATTTTAAAAATGTCATTCAATGTTAGTTTATTATACCTAATGTACTGATTAATGGTAAAAAATTTAAGCTTGTTTTAGTGATACCGGAAAAAAAAAGTCTCATTATATTACACAATCTTGTTTTAAGGACATTTTAGATTTTTTTTAATTGGAAAGCAAAAACAAAAGATTAAGATGCAGTGTAAAAGTGTGAGAACTGTCATTGTTGCTATTTTTGGAGTGGTGCTAAAAAAGCAATAAATGAAGGCTGTGAAGCTGTTCGTAGTTTCTGATTTGTTTAGTGCAAATCCTGTTATTTCATGCTCCGTTGCTAACATTTAAGATCTAGTGTAGATTGGTCCACAATATTGAAATCCATCAAGTAGAGTGGGGATTTAACCATATAGAGTTAGTGCTGGTGTTTTTGCTGTGATCAGTGATGTGAAAGCTGTTATTTATTTGTGATTGAATGCCAGGTTCACATTCAGGTCATCCTTGTTGTTTGAATTTTGCCTTGTAGTGTTTTAGATGAGTTGAATCTATTGTGATCAGTGTCAAGAGAAAAACAAGAAATAATAGAGGTTTCTGTAAGACTTGATTTGTGTGCGAGTATCTTCAGTGTTTTCTCACATTAATAAACTTCATTCTTTTCGGATCTTTTGAGAATTCCTGATTTTATAATTGAAATAATGCATTATATTTGAAGTTCATCTCTGCTAAACGTAGACTTCGTTTGTGAGTGTGTGCTTATGGATTGCACACTAAAATCATAACATTTAAAAACCTTTATTTTAAAATCGCATACATTTGTGTATTTTGATGAGACTTGCCACCTGCCAATCATTTTCCCCATAAATCATGAAACTGAAAACTATCATTGTTTTTCTGAGGTGAAGTCTGGCTGCCAGCAGGTGGCGCACTCTTCATAGCAACAACACTAAGATTTGGTTTTGGCTGCATTTGAGATTCAGCCTTTAATTTTTATATGTACACTTTGCGGAAATGTATGAAATAAAGAAGAGCACATACCACTATTTTCTTTTTTCCCCCTTCTTCCTGTAGTTAAATAGTTTTCCTGAATT